AAAACAAATTTCAGTCATCCCAGACTTAGCCGATTTTCGAGGTTTCAAAACAGCACTGAGTTCAATCTTTGGACCTCGGTTAGACTTGTATCAAAGCTGATCTAGCTTTGATCATTAAACAAAGTTTGTTCTACACCACTCAAACTTAAACTTTTGTTTATTAGGTTCCACTGCCATGCAAACCCTCTAAACCACAGTTCAAACCAAGTCAAAATAGCATCGCGGTAACGCTTAAATTTGAGTTTTAGACCGATATATTGATGCATTTTCTTGACATTTGCCCAACATGAACCTTTCATGACTTTTGTTGTAGAGTTCAATTAGAGTCATTTGGGCAACGTAGCAAGGTTTGGTTGATGACCTATAATTCCATTCACTTGATAAAGTAATCCAAGAAAGACTTTTAACTTATCATTTCATGTGACTTCTTGATTCCAAACTTCATGAAACTTTTCCACTCATCCAGGTGGGTGGAAATTGATGTGAGGCACATGAAAGAAACACCTTCAACAATACTTAGGTGTATATCTGAAAAGGGCCAATATGCAAGCAAGGGTGTGTTGCCCGAGTTTAAGTTGGAGCTCACTCTTGTAGATTTGATCTTGACACCTTCATCACCACTTAACATGTCAGGGTTGATTTCAAACCCATTGCTTAACTGGTGATAAACACCTGGGGTGTTACAGCCCTCCCCCCTTAAAGGAATCGCGCCCCAAGATTCAAGACGAAAGACTTTTATGGAAGGGAGACATGTTACCAGTTTCCAATATTAGCGAAAGCTTTAGGCTACTAGCTTCAAGCATCAGAGGGACCAAATTGGTCGAGACAACTTTCTATACTTGTTCTTTGTAGTAAATTTTTGTCAAAAGAATTTCCTTCATTGGCTTCCATAAAGCATTGCTACATTGGGAGGAATCCAAGATAGCACTGTCCTACGTACTTCGTCCTCGATGTACGAAGAGCGATACAAACGTAGACTAAATACTTGTAGCATCTACTTCCCTAGTGGATATAGCACAGACCAAATGGACTTTGCACTAGATCATAATCTTCTGAAGGATACTCGTTGCAATGGTTCCATGTGTGCAGTTCTCTTTCTCTGATAACAATATTGTATGGTCTGAGTCTGCCGAGTGAGTGGTAAACGTAATAGCTGAGTCTGTGGGCTCAACGTTCTCGATGATCATTCCTTAGTGAGCCTTTGGATCCAAGTTGCAACAGTGATCTGGGTTGAATCTGATGCAACCTCTTGGGTAAAAACACATATAAGGTACCAAAGGCATGTCAGCATTAGAGAACCATTGACGTAGAAGGATGTTAGCGAGGCTTGGAGGACAACACAAGTTGCAAGTAATCACAAAACTAGGGACTAGTTCAGTACCAAGCAGGTTAAGCACAATTTGCCTTCATGGTGCAGTTGCACAGCAAGTTGGGTTGACTTGCATCATAGCAAAACCAGCTTTCTTAAACTATATTTGACGTCGAGGCTTCCATTCTTAGGCCGATCAATATCTCAAAAACCATAATCCAAAAAAATCTATGGTTTGACACCTTTTCAATGACTTTCGAATTGCAAGGGCACAATTTGACTTCTAGAACACCTTGACTGCTTACGCATTGCTGATCTAAGAGGGCAAAAGCAAGGCACATAGGGGTGCAATTAGTCTTCTCAAGGTTATGGAGGGTTGTCTAACAGCGATACACCTACAAGTTGTAATTTCTTGGCATGAATTACAAACACAACCGTCTAATGCAAAGGATGATCGCAGTCACGGCGAAATTGCAGATTCTGTACCTTTTTGTTTTCTATTCATATCTCACAAACTACTGCTCCAATATGCACAAATTTTTGGTGGACATGTAGATCCATGGGTCTTCTAACTACTCACCAAAATTCAACTCAAACGGACACCGTTTGACCATCCAAACAATTCATCTACCAAAATTGCTCTGTTCTGAAATGGCAGCAAACCGAGCCGACAAGATATCTCTCAAATCCAATGTTTTACTCAACCAATACTCAAACCAACTTAAGACATTGAAGGGTCCTAAGCGAGGAATGAGATCACCAAGTTTGGGGTCAATCCAACTTCATTTGAGTCACTAATCGCCGGCTTGAAGATAACCGGTTTAGTGCCACAAAATCTGGACATATTTCGTGTTCTCCCTTTTCTTTGCTTCACACGTTGAGGTGTGTGTTTTGCACTCTCTAACCTTTCTCATAGCAGCAGCAGCCTTTCCCTAGCTGAGGATGGGGGCTAGAGTTTTCCTCACATGCTTCTCTGGTAACACTTCAACCATCGTTCTAGACACCAACTTGACTATGCACAAGCATTGGACTTGTGGGCTGTTTTCGCAGGGCACAAAGCATTATTCCACATATAGGGCATTCCTACATAGACAAGGAACCGTTTCTGAATATTCTCTGGCACTTGGTCCAATAGAACCTTGAACAAATCCGTTTATGGTACTAGGGGCACAATGATGCTGATCGAAACTAGGCACATGCTTTCTCTAGTCCTTCACTTAGCTGATACAACATCTTGCATTGCTGAACGTCCTTGTTGTTTCTTTGCTTCACTTCGTTCTATGAGACATAGTCTTCATAGCTACCAAGAAGTCGCTACCTAGCTGGAGATTAACCTTACTATGGGTAACTAATCATTTGTCTCTCAACACTCAACGTTCCAAATTCTTACTCTTGACCACAGCAATAATTGCAATCGAGGCACAAACAGACGGTCGCCATCGAAGTCTGCAGATAAGCAGTCACACTAGAGATGGTTGATTTCCACTGTACGACCATCATGCATCTACGGATCAAGAACTTGAACGGGATGTTCATGAGCACCCGGTGACCTATTACACCACATGATATCGCCATCCATTATCATTAGATTGATAACTTGTCCAACATTAAGTGTTGGGTACCTTTCTGATCCAACAGGGATGACATAAGTTGCTCATCAGATGATCGACGTCATTACAGGGACAGTTAGGTAGAGTCGCTTGTTTACCACCTCTTGCAGTCTGTTAATGTTTATGCCGGTGACCTGTTCTTCAAAGGTTATCTTCCATACGACATCAGGAGGAAGCTCTACTACATATGGTCCTAATAGATTGATCTTCTGATAAGATATGGGGAGATAACCAAGAAAGGATCACAAGAAAATATCACATCGGCTGTCGTTTCATAATGGATCATGACTAGCAACCCTGATACCAGCGCGTGCCGAGCAGCACAACCTTGTGTGCGCGCCCACAGGAGGCTCTCAGTTTCGTCGCGGCACCATAGAATGTTAATCATAACACCATTACTGAACTGACAACCAAAGTGAAATTTCCAGTGGCACCAATTAGATTGTAAGAACAAGCATTGTGCAAAAGAGGGATAGCAAACAAGGATAGTCACAAGGTTTGGAGTCAACAAGGAGGCGATCTGAGGATCAAAACACAGTACAAGAGGACATAGCTTAATTCTTTGAAGACAATCGAAAGCGAGGAACGTGTGCTTAAATTCCACGTATGACTTGCGTCCACCAAGGTGATTACCAAAGGGAAGATTAACATGAGATCCAGTCATGTTGGGCAACAACATGAGATCAAGACTGATAGACATCCCGAGACGTGGGAAGGTTGCAGATGGATTAAGCAAACTTCAAGGCAAAACCAATATGCCAATCAGAGGTTGAGTCGATAAGGCAATCACATGATTTGCTAGCAGAAGATTTCAAGATTAAGCAGCAAGAGATTAGCATTGCCTAGATCATCTGTAGGAGAGAGAATCAAGAGGTCCAACATGAAATTGGGTATGGTCTCCAAAACTTGGCAAGCAACAACTGTGGCCAAGACCGGCATTCGTTAGGACTTAACTTGGTTGGTCGATCGAACAATGGCATTCTCCAAAAGGTAGCGGACGTCCAAGGCCTAAGCAAACATATAAGGGAACTACGCTAGGGCCTACGGTTCAAGCAAGGCATAGATACACAAATGTTCAAGGGCTAGTGACCACGTCTACAGGCTCAGGCTCAGGCTCCCAAGAGAGAACCTAATTGGAGATGACAACCGTGCGATTACGTAACTTGAGCGTTGTTCTAGGATAAAGCTATTTGACACTCATATGCTTACCGAGGACAAACGAGGTGACAACTATGGCACTAATTAGATAACAAACATACATACCACATCATAGTTTCAAGCAAGCATTTGAGAGATTCAATCAAATTAGCTTAAGCACAAATTAGCTGGGACCTGGGAGCGGGGTGCTGCCGCGGTGAGCAGGTGGCAGGGCAGGGTTGCGGACTGCGAAGCGATGCGGTGATGAGGGGCCAGAGGGCGTGGGGTGGGCGGAACACAGTGATTGGGGAGTCAACGTTGGTGGGGATCGAGGGATATGATTGGACTGGTGTGGGGCTGAAGGGAGTCGGATAGAATTGGAGCCGAGCGGGGCGAAGGAGTCGTGCGAACGATTCTTGTTTCGTCTTGTTAGTGGTAGATAGAGATTGTAGCAGGCCATGTCGCTCTGGGCTAGGCTATCACGTCGTGGCGGGGGAGCCACCAAGCATCACCCTCACATTGGGTAGGGATGACACGGGCATAGACATGGGACAGAGCTAGAGCAAATGCAAGGATGATGTGTTTGTCTTATGAGTGCACAAATATTTACTATATATATAGATGTATTATATGGTAAAAATTTGATGATAATCATTGTTTTCCAGTTTTTTGTGTGGGTGCATCGGCACCAAGTGTCTATCTAGACCTGTTCCTCAGCCCAAAAGGCGTCGGGCTGTGTTGTGCGTAGGCCAGGCCAAAACAGCAAGCTATGGGCCAGCCCATGGGCCTTGGGCCTTATGGCCATCTTTAGGTATAAACCAGTACACGAGCAGGCTTGACAAACAAATCACGGTAATGGAGTTTGAGATGGGCGCCTTCCTGCTCTACCACATCGCCGGAAGTAGCAAAGGAGGAGACGAGCATGATGCACGGAGCACACGCTTTCAGCCACCACTGAACGGCCGGTGCAACTTGACTGCGTCTATGACGCCGGCCGTGGAGCCTACGGCGCCGGCGACGGAGACAAGGAGGCACGCGGCGCTGAGCGTCTGGAGACAGACCCAGCGCGTGCTCCACCTGCGCACGCCGCGCTGCGCGATGTACATCTCGACGGGGAAGTAGACGCTGAACGGCCAGAACGAGACGGCGCCGAGCAGGCCCACGACGTTGCCGAAGAAGGGGAGCATCATGGCGACGAGGGTGGTGAGGCAGACAAACGCCGTGCGCCAGGTGAGGCGGAACACGCTGAGCTTGAAGGGGCCGACGGCGCCGAGCTCCCGGGTGATGAAGGCGCTGTCGGACCACGTGGCCGCCGCCCACTTCTCGACGAAGGCGAAGAGCGGCTGGAAGAAGACCTGGTAGGCCCCGACGAGGTGCACGACGATGGCGACGTTGGCGATGTCGAGGAGCCAGAAGGGCTCGTAGAAGCCGAACCCCGTGAGTAGGTTGTCCGGCGCCGCGTCGCCGAAGGCGGCGTAGCCTTGATCGTGTTCTGCTTGTATTGTTCGATTTCGAATCAGAGAAAACAGAGCAAAACCAGGGGGCAAGAAACAGAGCATCTATTAAAATGGTTCAAGAACTAACAAAGTAGGCATAGGCTTCGTTGGTGATAGCTTGCCTGTATCTCGATAAGGATGTAGGCGTAGGAGTAGGCGAAGGAGATGTTGCCGAAGGCCTGCAGGCTGCGCCAGACCTTCTGCATCGGCGTGACCCCGCCGCCGACACCGACGCCGGTGAGGCTGCCCTTGAACCCGCCGTTGGCGACAGTCTGCGCGATCCCGAGCGCGAGTCCGATGGTGGCGTAGGTGAAGGACATGGCGGCGGCGACGATGGAGAGCCACCATATCTGGTCGAAGTCCGGTATCTGCGAGAAGACGACCTCGACGGCGCCGAAGAGGATCATGTACGGGTTGCTGGAACCGCGGCACGGGTTCCTGTGGCCTCTGACGTGGAAGAAGTCCGCCCTCTTGATCGCCCTCATGCTGATGGATGTTAGATAAGTTGACGCAGATCATGGAATACTTCATTCAGTTGGTGTCTAGGGTGAGTCGGTTAGGATCGGCCGTGGTTGGGGTCGTGCCTGGCTACGACACGGTCCGGTGGAGTTTGTCATGTTCACGCCATGACGTGCCGAGCGCACGGGACAGACATCGCGGAAACGGTGTTTGTACCCGATACGGCATGGCGTGGGATGAGGTTGTGTTCCTCAGGTGTCTTATATAAACATGAACAAAGGACTCAAAGGGCTGTAACGTTGGCAGTACCTAATTCTCATCTTCCTCGCAAGTTTTACATCTGTCTCGGCCCTAGCTCTCTCCACGGTCACCGCGCCGTCGTCGGTGTTCCCGTTCCAGACCGCGCAGCTGCGTCGAGTTCCAACAAGTGGTATCAGAGCCGTAAGGTTGCGGAGGAGACGTGTTCGGCGGAGTAGAGAGACAGGAGGAGCAGCCGGGCGAGTTAGATCGTTGTGTTCAAGCAGATCAAGCCGTGAACACTTGCCGTCGTGATGGGCACCAACAGCGAGAAGGAGAAGGAGCTGATGGAGCGGGCATGGAATCAGGCTTCAGGAAATCTGGTATGGCCGATGCTTTCCCGATCCAATTACCAAGAGTGGTCGGCTCATGTGCAATGCAATCTCGAAGCCATGTTCCTGTGGGACGCAGTTGAATCTGACAAGGTCGAGCGACGTCGTGATCGGCTCACTCTGGGCGCCATGATCCGTGGTGTTCCCCCCGAGATGCACTCGATGTTGCTGAACAAAAAGTCAGCCAAGGTGGCCTAGGAGGCGATCAAGTCAATGTGTTTGGGTGCAGATAGGGTTAAGGAGGTGAATGCGCAGAAACTTCTAGCCGAGTTTGAAGCAATCTCTTTCAAATCTGGTGAAACAATTGAAGACTTCATTTGTGAGAATTGGTAAGATTACGACCGATCTCAAGGGCCTAGGGAGATGAGTGTCGATGATGCTCGTGTTGTGAAAAAGTTCCTCAGAGTCATGCCACCGAGATATAATCAAGTGGCGATTACAATTGAGATGTTCTGTGATTTAAAACCTTTGTCTGTGGAAGAACTCGTTGGACGTCTGCGTCTTTGCAGAAGATCGATTCGAGCCCACGGTGGAGGAGGTCACCAATAAGCGAGGGACAACTCATGATGATGGAGGATGATTGGGCATGAAGCACAAAGCGAGGATGATGATGATTCGTCCTCGGTGGGGCAAGGTGGTGGTGGCTATGGCCACCATCGTAAGAAGAACAAGAACAGGCGCGTGGTGCGGGAGGCGGTGGTAAGCTGTGACTCACGTGACTTGGGAGGCAAGGAGGCCAACAACACGGTGCACCACGCCGCAAAGGCCGCTGTAATAAGTGCAAGGTTTATGGCCATTGGGTGAGGAGTGCAAGAAGTACCAGCGGGATCGTGCAGAGGCAGCTCATCATGCCAATCGATGCCGATCCACAACTCGCTCTTCTAGTGGCACAAGTTTGCAATGTGGTGGAAGCTGCAGGAGTTGCAGTAGCACCTGTGTGTTTACGAACCAGAACAGGTCAATCCATCCAAGTATGAAGAAGGCTCGTGGGTTTTGGATACAGGAGCTACAAACCACATGACTGGCTGCAGAGCTTCATTGTCCAATTTGGATGAATATGTGCGAGGGGCCGTGAGGTTTGGAGATGGGTCCAAGGTTGAGATTTACGGGATCGGGGCTGTGACGATCGCTGGCAAGAACCAAGAACACAGGGTGCTATCTGAGGTATATTACATACCATCTTTGAAGTGTAATATCGTGAGCCTAGGCTAGCTAGAAGAAGGCGGGTGTCGTGTCGAAATCGGCAATGGCGTCATGGTGGTCATGGAGCGTCAGAACACAAGCAGCATGAGCCGGAGCGTGCTCATTCGAGCAGAACGCAGGAACCGGCTGTACATAATGCAGGTGAAGATCACGTCACCTGCTTGCCTACTGTCGAAGATGGACGACATCTCATGGTTGTGGCATGCCAGATACGGGCATCTGAACTTCAGAGCCCTTCGTGAGCTAGCAGCAAGGGAGATGGTTGAAGGCATGCCAGTGGTGAAGACTGTCGAGCAGGTTTGCGATGGATGTGCGCTTGGAAAGCAGCACAGGACGCCATTTCCCAGGGCCTCGGCGTATCGTGCATCAGGTTGTTTGGAGTTGGTGCATGCAGATCTTTGTGGCCATGTCACGCCGCCCACCCCGGGCGGGAAGCTGTACTTCCTACTCATTGTGGATGACCACAGTCATTATATGTGGCTTGAGCTAATGGCCACGAAGGACGAAGCCCTCAGACACTTCAAGAGATTCAAGGCTGCAGCAGAACTTGAGTTGAGTTGCAAATTGAAAGCTTTTAGGTCAGATCACGGAGGCGAGTTCAATTCAGGTGCGTTTGTGGAATTTTGTTAGGAACATGGCATCAAGCACAACACCACAACAGCATATACGTCGCAGCAGAATGGGGTTGTCGAGAGGCGCAACCAAATGGTGGTTGAGATGGCACGGTGCTTACTCAAGAGCATGGGCGCCCCGGCTCGCCTGGGAGAAGCGATCAAAGACGGCGGTGTACTTGCTTAATCGCGCACCGACCCAAGAGTCCGAGTGTGACGAGCGCCGTTTGAAGCATGGTTTGGGAGAAAGCCAGGTGTCAAACATCTCAGAACATTTGGATGCAAGGCATATGTCAAGCGTGTTGGTCCAGGGATCAGTAAGTTGTCTGACCGATCGATGCCAGGAGTTTTCCTTGGTTACAAACCAGGAACTAAAGGGTATCGCATCTATGATCCCATGAAGGATAAGCTTATGATCAGTCGTGATGTGATTTTTGATGAGAAGGTGGCTTGGAATTGGGAGGGACAAGAAAGGCAGGCCGCATGGTGGTGATCTGGCTGACAGCGAGCTGAGCACGAACGCGTTTGAGTTCAAGTGTCTTGACAACAACATTCACGGTCCGACGATAGGTGCCGATGCAGATGATGGCCCCGTTTCTGAACCTGGAGATTGGGAACCAGTTTCACCTGCAGTTTCAATTCCATCCACAGGAAGCGTGGCATCTCCACACACACCACCACATCAATAGATCCAATGGGCTACTCCGCTTCGCGATGAGCGGTGATTTTTTAGGATGGTGCTCCACTCGGATCTGAACCATCCCCAACTTACTTGACACTGGCGATGAGGTGCAGGACTTGAGTATAGCGGCATTTGCTTGGTTCTTTGCAGAAGAGCGAAGTCGATTCGGGGAGGCCTTGTCGAAAGCAAAGTGTTGGAGGAAGGCAATGGGAGGAGATGAAGGCCATTGAGGATAATAAGACATGGATTTCTTGTGATCTTCCACCCAACCAGAAGGCCATCGGCCTCAAGTGGGTATTTAAAGTGAAGAAGGACCCAGAAGGCAAAATTGCCAAGTACAAGGCACGTTTAGTGGCTAAAGGCTATGCTCAGCGTCAGGGAATTGACTTTGATGAAGTTTATGCCCCTGTTGCCAGAATAGAGACTATAAGGGATTTGCTTGCACTAGCAGCACACGGTGGTTGGGAGGTTCACCATATGGACGTCAAGTCTGCATTTTTAAATGGTGATTTGTTAGAGACAGTGTTTGTGCAGCAGCCTCCAGGTTTCATCATTGGTGATTCACATAAGGTGTTGAAGTTGGAAAAGGCTCTGTATGGTCTTAGACAGGCACCTCGAGCATCGAATGCTAAGTTAGACAGGGAGTTGATTGCTCTCGATTTTGTGAGAAGCAAGTTAGAGCGTGCTGTTTACAAGAGGAGCAGCAGTAAATCCTTTCTCATTGTTGGAGTTTATGTTGATGATCTTATAATCTCTGGACCTTCAGTTGGAGATATTCTAAAGTTCAAGGCAGAGATGAGAAGGAAATTCAGCATGAGTGATTTGGGACTCCTTAGTTACTATCTGGGTATTGAAGTTAAGCAAGGAGGTGGTGAAATCACTCTGAGCCAAAGTGCATATGCTCTGAAGATTTTAGAGAATGCCAACATGAAGAATTGCAACTCATGTGATACTCCAATGGAGTGCAGGCTCAAACTCTGCAAGTTGAAAGGAGAAGATGCAGTAGACCCAACAGCCTACAGGAGTTTGATCGGCAGTCTAAGATATATTGTAAACACAAGACCAGACTTAGCCTATACTGTTGGGGTGGTAAGCAGATACATGGAGGCGCCAGGAAAGAAGCACTGGCTTGCTGTTAAGTGTATTCTGAGATACCTAAAGGGAACTGTTGGGTATGGATGCATATACACAAGAGGAGGAGAGCTTCAGCCGATGTTGTTGGGATATAGCGACAGTGATTATGCTGGGGATGTAGAAGACCACAGAAGTACATCTGGGGCTGTCTATTTTCTCGGCAAGAGTTTAGTGACCTGGTCGTCATAGAAGCAGAAGATCGTCGCACTCTCATCTTGTGAAGCAGAATACGTCGCGGCAGCAGCAGCAGCAGTGTGCCAAGGAATCTGGCTAAGCCGACTCATAGCTGACATGTTGGGAACGAAAGAGGCGACGGTGAAGCTACTCATGGACAATATGTCTGCAATTGCTCTTAGCAGGAATCCGGTGCACCACGAATGAAGTAAACACATCGATACAAAGTATCATTTTCTTCGTGAATGCATAGAGGATGGAACGGTGGAGGTGGATCACATTGGGACAACAGATCAATTGGTTGACATCTTCACCAAATCGCTGGGACGAGTTAAGTTCATAGAACTGAGGAGTGCTTTAGGAGTCATAGAAGTGCATCAAGTTTAGGTGGTGATTTGTTAGATAAGTTGATGCAGATCATGTAATCTTTCATTCAGTTGGTGTCTAGGGTGAGTCGGTTAGGATCGGCCGTGGTTGGAGTCATGCCTGGCTACGACACGGTCCGGTGGAGTTTG